GATGTTTCTATCTCTCTCTCCCTCTCTGAAATCAATAAAAAAATATTTTTAAAAAAGGTCTTTGGATCCACATCAAAGAACTATTTAAAAATCTGGGCTCTGAGGTAGTAAGTTTAATTTCAACACATCAAGTACTTAACATTAAATGTTAAATTTTAATATATTGTAGAAATTTGTAAGGGGAAACTTTTTCTCCTCTATTCTAGATACTTTTAACATCAGATTGGGGGAGGGGGATTTAAGTCCTATAAATTTAATTCAATGACATTATCTACCTGTACTTCTGACCCACCTGCTATGAAGCAGGGCTCTCCTAAACCCAGTTTTCAGGCTCCATAATTTGTAAGAAGAGCTCACGGAACTCAGGGGAACATTTACTTGCATTTACTGATTTATCATAAAAAGATACAATTCAGAAGAGCCAGATGGAAGAGACGCATAGGGTAAGGTATGGGGGAGAGGCCAGGCGTCTCCAGGCCCTTTCCAGTTGAGGTACCTTCTAGCACCTCCACCCATCCACCAACCAGGAAGCTCATCGAACCTCCGCTGCTCAAGACTTTATGAGTTCGATCACCAGCACCCTACTTCCCAGGGTGGGGGCGGGGGGAGGTTTCATGTTCCAGTCCTCTAACCTCTGGGGTTTTCCGGTGACCAGACCCACCCGGTCACTCATGAGCATAAACTTCGGCGTGCTCAAAAGGGGCTCCTAACGAAATAAAAAACGCTCCTATCACTCGGAAGGTTTTAGGGGCTCTGTGCCAGGAACCAGGGGCAAAGGCCAAAGAAATACGTTTCTTATTATAAACTCTGCCAAGACTGATAATGAAGAATTCAATGAAAGAATGGGAGGGAACTTTTCTCCCCGACGGGGCCGTCCTGAGACTTCTATGCAAAAGCCCAGGTGCCCCGGGGAAACTCGGCCGGCGGCAGGCCCCCGCCTGTGTGCGCCTCGGGCTTCACTTATAAATTAAGGCCCGAACGCAGGGGACGCGTCCCTCGCGAAGTGCGGGTGCAGAGCGAAAGCAGACGGCGCCGGGGGTGTGCGGGGGGCACCCTCAAAATGATTCTCTCATCATTGATGTTTCTATCTCTCTCTCCCTCTCTGAAATCAATAAAAAAATATTTTTAAAAAAGGTCTTTGGATCCACATCAAAGAACTATTTAAAAATCTGGGCTCTGAGGTAGTAAGTTTAATTTCAACACATCAAGTACTTAACATTAAATGTTAAATTTTAATATATTGTAGAAATTTGTAAGGGGAAACTATTTTTCTCCTCTATTCTAGATACTTCTAACATCAGATTGGGGGAGGGGGGGTTAAGTCCTATAAATTTAATTCAATGACATTATCTACCTGTACTTTTGACCCACCTGCTACGAAGCAGGGCTCTCCTAACCCAGTTTTCAGACTCCATAATTTGTAAGAAGAGCTCACAGAACTCAGGGGGACATTTACTTGCATTTACTGATTTATCATAAAAGGATACAATTCAGAAGAGCCAGATGGAAGAGACGCATAGGGTAAGGTATGGGGGAGAGGCCAGGCGTCTCCAGGCCCTTTCCAGGTGAGCTACCTTCCAGCACCTCCACCCATCCACCAACCAGGAAGCTCATCGAACCTCCGCTGCTCAAGACTTTTCATAGAGTTCGATCACCAGCACCCCACCCGCCGCACCCTACTTCCCAAGGTGGGGGAGGGGGGAGGTTCCATGTTCCAGTCCTCTAACCTCTGGGGTTTTCTGGTGACCAGACCCACCCGGTCACTCCTGAGCATAAACTTCGGCGTGCTCAAAAGGGGCTCCTAACGAAATAAAAAACGCTCCTATCACTCGGAAGGTTTTAGGGGCTCTGTGCCAGGAACCAGGGGCAAAGGCCAAAGAAATACGTTTCTTATTATAAACTCTGCCAAGACTGATAATGAAGAATTCAATGAGAGAATGGGAGGGAACTTCTCTCCCCGACGAGGCCGCCCTGAGACTTCTATGCAAAAGCCCAGGTGCCCCGGGGAAACTCGGCCGGCGGCAGGCCCCCGCCTGTGTGCGCCTCGGGCTTCACTTATAAATTAAGGCCCGAACGCAGGGGACGCGTCCCTCGCGAAGTGCGGGTGCAGAGCGAAAGCAGACGGCGCCG